TTCCTGGACCTTGTCTTTAAGGTAAAGAGAAGCGGTTACATGACGCCGCTCACATTTTCGCTCTATATTTATATGGCGATTGCAGCAAGTGAGGGGCAGATTCACGTTCGTTCTCTACCAGCTGATTACTCACTGCCTTTTCGCCCCACATCCCTCAAATGCATGATTATGAAATAAATATAGGCAGAGGATATAGTGAAGAGGCACCAGAGAGCGAGAGTGATACGCACTGAAGGAGAGCATCAAAAATCACCAATGGAATATTGCGCTTTTTACGATTGTCAACATCCATTTTGCCAACAAATAAGTACAACATGCAAAAAACCTAAATGATCACATTTACTTGTTGACCAGGAATTATGCCATTACATTGTGACACACATGGCCACGCTAACGCCGTAATAGGATGGGCGAAATTGCAGTGCACTGGCTGGGAGCGGCACGTATTGTGGGGACACTTGGTAGGATCGAATCTAACCTCTCGAGTAGGCCGTCTTTTACTTTAAACCCTGGTGAATGGTACCAGGCATCTCTCGAAGGGATCGGAAACGAGTTCCACGTACAGCAGGGGCAGAGTGCAGCAAGCACCGGCGAGGGGATGGGTCCCCAAAACTGCATCTCTGGACGCATCCCCCATTCTTGATCACGAGGATTGCGTCATCGACCGGAGCAGAGACGCAGTTTTGGGGACCCATCCCCTGGTCGGGGTTTGCTGCACTCGGCCCCAGATTTATGACAGGCACGTGACGCAGCCGCGCGCTTGTCTTCATGGGCGGCTCTGGCGGCTGCGATAGATTCTCTGGTGTGTGATGTCCAAGTTTTCACTTCCTCTCGAAATCTTTGTTCCGGGCGGAAGTGGTGTAGTGGCAAGTGGCACGCTTACCACGCGAGCGGTCCGGGGATCAAATCCTGGGTCGTGAGTCGCCCGGGCCAACCAAGCCTTCCATCCCTCCGGGGTCGGTAATTGGTACCAGACTTGTCTGGGAGGATAAAAACACTGACTTGTACAATAATTCG